GTAACTCAACTGAGTTTCAAGCTGATGAAATTTTTGTCCAGGCATATCTAGATCAAAATTTCACTCATAAGGGGAAAGCCGAAAGGTCTATTGGCCGATTCGAAAACTAGCTACCTTGCACAACTCCATTAGTTTATATTTTATGCATTACCAGGCTAATTTTTTAAAAGGGACTGTTATTTAAGGGTGTAATATACCTGAATAACAGCCACGCCAGCGGCCAGCCCGCCGACGATTGCCATGTGATCTTTGAGGTAGTCAAACAATGCATCCTCACATCCCTAGAAATATTGCAATATAAGTGGTGTAACTATTATTACCACTTGTGATTACGGCAAGTTAGACATGAAAATTGGTTGCCCGGAATAAAATTCACTTCCCATCAGGTCTAGTTTTGCCCTCAAATATTAATAGATTATATAGAAACTAGAATAGGTGAATGGGACACGATAAAAGGCGAGGATATATGTAAGAGCGAGATTGAAACTGAGTATAGGAAAGGCAACCCAAACGGTCTTCTTCAGCAGGGTTTTTTAAGGGGTACATATAGGTAGAATTTCAGAGGAGAAGGGACCAAGAGAAAAACAAATTATTAAGAAGTTATTGAAGTTAATAACCATTTATCACAGCCACAGGCCATTCCCAAAATGTTGATTTCAAAATGTTATAGTACTCTCGAATGCGAGTGACGCAAAAACACGACATGTTTTTTTTTTCGGGTACCAGAAAGCATCCCGGATTTTAGCAATAATCTATTATTATATTGTATTTTATATATATATATATATATATATATATATATATATATATATATATATATATATATATATATATATATATATATATATATATATATATATATCTTTAACAATTATACCATGAGCTCGAGTCGTATTTGGCTATCAGCCATATACGACGAGAGCGAATGGTATAATTGTTTTGTAATATACTCTAATATAGCCATTAACTGAAGCAGTAATTAATTATTCACTGTTACAATGTGTTGACAATTTGTTCGGCCAAAAACCGCTTGAAAATTTGAAATACTTTTGTTTTACAACTCGAAGACGAAGTGAAAGAAATGGTTTTAGAACCTCTATATCTCACAGGAAAGCTCAGATATATTATACAGATGTTTGGTACTATAGTAAGTGCTGGTTGACTGCAAATTCATTTGTCGTTCCTTGCAAACTTTTCTGAACAATTTATATTCTCAATGAACGTGTTTTTTCGCTGTTGTTTCGGTATTAATTCTTTAAAAAACTTGTATTTAAACTAATTTCTACGTAATAAATGAATTTTGCTAACCTGTCAAATTTTTTTGAGAGTTTTCCCTTGTAATATTATTACTCTCAAAGCGAATATTTTCCTTTTTCTGCTTCGCAAAACTCATGTAGTTTTTGGACCGCCATCTTGTTTTTCGCTACTCGCCGTATATGAGCTGATATACGGCGAGTAATTCAACCAATCAGATTGCAGAACAGCTCATATACGGTGGATGACTATATTATAAATATATATATATATGTTGCATTGTTGCAACATTTATTACAACGTTTAAATTACCTTTTGGTAAGCATTCAACTTAGTACAAACTTTTTGATTTGCTACCATTGTCAAGTTGGAACAACAGGAGTCTGGAATAGTGGTAATATTGTACGGCTTTGGATTTGTATAGTCAGAAACACCATCTTTTCCACAACAGTCAAACTAAAAAAAATAACAAAATTTTATGTTGATGAATGATGGAAATTTTTATACATTTATTAAACCTAACCACAAAAAGTTGCAAAAATTCAACTATGGGACCTCTGGCAGGAATTGAACCTGCAATTCCAGTGCACTGTGCTCTAATCAACCAAGCTAGAGAGAAACAGTTGTTGACTTTTGAGCCCTAACCAGAATTCTATTTGACCTATTGTATTACATATTTATACAGCCCTAACAAAAAAAGTCTATAGGCCTGGCCTATAGGCCAACCTATAGGTTTCTATAGGAAATCTATAGGTTTTTATAGGCAATTGGAACATTTTCTATAGGTGACCTATAGGGATGCCTATAAGCCTATAGAGCTCTATAGGTGCCTAAAGGCTTCTATAGGGAATTGGAACAATTCCTATAGGAACCTATAGGCCACCTATAGACTTTTTTCGTAAGGGAGCGGAAAGTCTATTGAAGGTGTTTAACCCATTGACTGCAATGAGTGGCAGCAATCTCCCCCTGACAAGTAAAATCGTCTGGCATTAGACAGGGTAAAATAATCTGGCGTTAGACAGAGATAAAGTGGTAGCATTTCTTCCTCTAAATTTATACGTTGGTTTAGGTAACACATAGTTTGTTGCCATAGAAGCACACATATGGGCCTGTCAACCTTTATAGCAACTGATATATAAGGATAACTCTTATTTATTAAACACTTTTGAATTGGCTGTTTAGAGGCGGAAAACCGGGAAACGACAAAACGCGGACCCCAGGTCCATGGACTACCTTCGTGGACCTGGTCCATAGACTACACTTGTGGACCACGGACCACTCCCGTGGACCACTCTCGTGGACCACTTGCAAAATTTCGCCTACTGAACAATAGACCAAACACTATTATTCCGAGTTTAGGGAGCCAAGATTGGCGGGAACTACTGATTATTCATTTCCATTATTTATTTCACAATCAATTCAGTTTTTGTTTGATGAACAGTGAATACTAAGTCTGTAAAAATGCTGAAAAAAATGTAGTCAGGGTTCCATTAAAAAATATAGGAATACTGTGGAGAATCTGGAGGGGAGGGGGTGAGGGTGGTCAAAGGATTTTACTGAATTATTCGAATTTTACTGTTAAAAAATCACTTGAACTGTAGAAGTCGTAAGTTGCAATGACCTTTCAATGCCTGAAGGTCCTCTTCCAAAAATATTAATTTTTGAAGCTCGATTACTGCTTTTCTTGCATTTCCTGTAGCGATCGAGAAAAAAACCTACCAATTTTAAGCATATATTCGGAAACTTTGCATTAAAGTCGTAATTGCACACTTATATTTTAGAACGGTCATGTTCAGAACTTCACATTTTGTGTAAAGTTTCCACAATAATAATAATGACTGAACTCGACTGAGCACATTTTTGCATGCACAGTCAAGAATTCAAACCCCAAAAATCTGGTGTCTCGCAAGTGGTCCACGAGAGTGGTCCACGAAGGTAGTCCACAGACCAGGTCCACGAAGGTAGTCCATGGACCTGGGGTCCGTGTTTTGTCGTTTCCCCAGAAAACCAATCATTGAGCCATTTTCATTAGAGCAATCAGATTAGTGTCTCATTCAAATCCTAGCTACACTCGCAGCACAAGAAGCCCCTTGACTTAAATGTTAAATTGGGCACCATCTTGGACTGAAAATACAACATGAAGACGTGTTTTTAACACATAAATACTTCAATTTTAACTTTCCAAACGTTATAGATTCTAAAATGAAGTCATTACAATAAATAGATGAAACGAAACACAGCTGCATTATTTTGTTTGGAATATATATATAGCCTAACAATAAGCAAAACAAGAAGTATTCGGTGATGCCATGCCATTTTTTTTTTAAAAACACCGAAATATTTTCCTCCAATTTTTTGCCATAATTTGCTACAATAAAACATCCAAAACAAATTCTCAAAACAATTCAAATTTAAATTAAATCTTCTAGAGATGCCGCACTGTACAATACCTCTTTCTGCACTGTGTCAAAGGCTTCCTTGTACTTTTTTTCATCATAATGCTTCAATGCATAATCCATCCCTTCTCCAACATAGTCTTTCACCTGATATAGAATACAAGCAAGTTAAATTCTGCAGTCTACTGAGAGTCATCAGTTGGATCCTCGCAATATTTGTTACAGGAGTTGCAATGATCGCTTGCAAAGGTGCTTGACATCAAAAAGCACTTGACAGAGCTGACTCAAGGTACTTTTTTTGCATACCTACTAAACAGAAGTACCAATATGATATACCGTCGCTTGCAACTAAGGATGAACGGTCGCAGATAAAACATTGTAGTTCAATGTTTGTGCTGACATTTGATGGGTTCAATTCGTTCAGCCAATCAGCTTGGCGCTGGTTGAACATGATTGGCTGATCAGATTAAAATCTGTCAAGTGTTTTTGACGAACATTTTTATGAGCAACCATTCATCCTTAGTTGCAAGCAATGGTATAGGTGCTGTGTGAATTATAACATTTTCGATTGGGTCTGACAAATGTCCAATATTAACTGAGCTGTTGCTCAGGCATTGGCTATTAAAATTCAGCCAGCTTCTCAAAATTTACATCGAATTTACGAGCTACTGTATCAATATGGGGTCAGGACAAGCAATCAATTTGATAGCCAATTGCTGGGTCATTTTAATTCATACTGAACAGGTGCATCCACACATGTCCTAAGGTGATTGTTCATTGCAAAAATTTGATTGAACACCTTTTTGTGCAAGGCATGATATTTAATCTGACACTGTGGCAAACAATTAAAAAGCTGTGTTAGCATTTTCTGCAGTCTAGAAGACAAAAATCAATCTCACTTAAATATGGCTTGAGATAACAAATCCTCTTTTGTACAATTTATAAAAAGGGAGCCTAAATCTTGCCAAGGCAATTTTCAATAGGGCCCTAATATAAACTTAAAGGTGATCTACAGTCCGTATGTAAACAAAGCCTTTGTTTACATTTTTGTGCCCAAAATATTGAGCTTTATTCGACAACTATTTATATTTTCAAGCTTCTATCTAGAGTATAATAAATGATCAAGAAACAACAATCAGGCTTTTCAAGAACTCAAAACATAGTTAAACTGTTTGTATCATAAAAAGTGGGCTCATTTGTGCACATGCGCAGATCGGACTGTAGATCACCTTTAATAATCATAATCATAAAGTTATTATCACTTGCTTAAACTACAGTATCATGATGAATACTACCATTTGAGCTTTCGCGAAGCGTGCATTTACTGTATAACTGGGTTATAAAATGTTTCTGGAACCGGCAGAGTTTGTCAATCAAAACTATTTGTTTGGCGGGCAATAACTTTTGTAGGCGTGGCGTCAAACAAATTGTTTTCAACACAAAACTTTACTCTTTTGGCTTCAAAATTAAATAGAAATGGAGGCTATAAATAAGTTTGGAAGGTGCTACAAACCTGGTGTTTCTCTTTCTGATTATTTTTACCGTTGTCATTTTGTTGTTACCAATAATATAAAGTGTTGTGTGTATACAGTAAAGTTTAAGTTTTGTGTTCAAAATAATTTGTTTGACGCCACGCCTACAAAACTTATTACCACCAAACAAATAGTTTAGATTGACAAACTCTGCTGGAAAAAAGTTTTAAAACCTGGTTATAAATGCATGCTTCACAGAAGCTCGAAAATGGTAGTAATATTGTCTATATTTCCCTCACCTTGTCTTTATAGACATATGCAGTAATTGCAGCAGCAACCTCAATCACAAGCAGTATGACCATCAAGACTATAAACTATAAGATTATAAAGCTATAAGATTATAAAACAAATGCATTTTGACAACAAAGTTATTAACAAAATTTTTACAAGTGACATATTGTATTGAAATGCAACACATCAGGCACAAAATAGTCACTGTACAATGTTATCTGCAAAGCAGGTATCAAGAAATATAAAGGTTTCACAGATCCCAAAATGCCGGTTGTGTTTCATGGGTATGGTTCAAACTCAACTCCCCTCTCATAAAACCGAACATTTTAGAGATTTTAACAGTCAAGCTGTTAATTAAATCATAAAAACTAAAGATTATGAGTTTTTTTTAAGTTTTTGATAATCCAAAACTGCAAAACATTCTTGTGACAAGTAAGGTCATTGTTTGGCCATTTTAAAAATTTATTTAAATCTCTTTTTATATATATTACTTTTTCTTCTCATGGAAATGGGCACCCATTCCAGAACCGAAATGTCACTGGAAACAATTGCTCTTCAAAGTGAATTCCCACATTTGGGAAACATGAATCAACTTAAATTGACAATAATTACATACAATGGTCAGCATGATAACACTCTTTCGTATCGCACCACAACATCCAAAGAACGCAACAATGAAGATGATGCCACCGAGGGCAATTAACAAGATGGAGACTCCTCCAATGTCCTTCGACGTCAACTCTTCGTATTTGTCATATTTCAGACGAATGAGTGCACCTGTGATTATGCCAGCAAGGCCGATCAACTACAGAACATAATATGAATTTTTAATATACCAATTAACATTTTCAGCTGTTCAGCAGTGACAAGTGTTTGTAGGCAGTGCAGGACTGGGCAAGGTAGCTACACCTCCTAGTTTTCACAGAAATGGCATAGAAAGTTGGGCAACCTCTACTTGATTGTTAATTGTTTCTATTACTGGAAATTGATAACTTGTAATTCACAAAATGTTATATGGCCTTGTACAGTAGTATACTGTGTTTGTTTCATCTAAGGTGTACATACATTGTTGGACTTTTATGAATTCTCAACCCATCGAGTGCCAGCACTTTAACACCTACGGCGGTTTTTCCGACGCCGGAGCTGGATTTTGTATGCCGGAGCCCAGAGCCATGTCGCAATTCAAAAGAAACATGGTCGCAATTCAAAAGAAACAGGCGAAATATTTCGTATTTCGCTGAGAAAAAGCGCCCGTGGAATCAGGTCTCGAGAGTGTTAGCGTCATGCCTCGTGTCAAAGATTTTTCGAGGCTGGTTTCCATATAGATATTTTCTGCGTGGTTAAGTGTTTTCACTGTTTTGTTTCCGGAGTTATGTTATCTGATAATTAGAAAGCGCGAAAAGGGTTATTCATAATAATATTAATAAATGTTCTCTGATCGTAAAACATTTATTTAATATTTTATGAAGTGGCCGGAGCCGGAGCTCAGAGCTGATGAAAAACCGGAGTTTGCACAGCACTACTGTAGATACACTATCTGCCCATGTGTCTAGTTAACCCACAAGTTGCATTGTACCCTAATGCAACATACTTTATTATTTTACTCTAACATCAGTCAATTTTACTAATCAATTAAGGGGAGTACATTGGCACTCAATGGGTTAATTTGAATTCTTTAATTAGCTCAGCCAAACAGCACAAAGCTTAATAAATTAAATTTGATATTAATTCATTCAGTAATTTGTGAGAACTGATAACAATTAATGAATATCTCCTGCATGTAGATGTGAAATTGGTTAAGGAATTCACATACAAGTCAATTCTACACAAAGGAATGTGAAAATGACCAAGCATGCCATATTGTATATTAAATATCTTACACCTCATTTGGGGAGAAAGGCTAATTGATTGATACATAACACTGGGCCAATAAGACGTGCCTTTACTGAATCTCAAGTGTAATTAACAGTTTAGAACTGATAGTCCAGCATAAAAGGGAGGGGTGATATAACATATAGATATTAAAAGATCTTTATGCTACAATATATTGTACAGTAACAGGTTTCATATTAGGGGAAGGTAGACTCAACCCCCAAATAACCGATGTACCCAGCTTATTGCAACATATGAAAATCTTCTCTCTTTGAACTTCTTTTTATGTTGGTAAAAAATGCAAGTAAGTTTCCTTAATATTAATAATATAAACAAAAAAGCTCTTTACTTGTAGGTGCAAGGTTTAACACAAAAACATTTGTTGTTGAGATCTAGCTGTTCTAACAAACGTCTTTATATAAGGAAGGCATTGGTATTGATGCTACCCATATACCAAATACAGTAAGTTCTACATTATGATACGTTTTATATACAGAAACCAATGCTCATACAAAGAATGCTGAAGAAGTTCAATAGTTTCGCTCTGTTAATCACGTATAAAATCCACACATGTTCTGTTCAAAATTGTAGCAAACTGATGGAAAATTGATACTAATTTTAACTAAAAAGTATTACTTCAAAAATATAGAACACCATTTTTTAACTTCGACATGTTACAATGTAAGAACAGTCCTGCTGTGCACACAAATTTCCCCCCAAAATCAACAAGGACTTTGCCTTTCGCTACAAGGCATATTTGATTTGAAAGCTACTACGTTCAAATATAGCACGTTCCAACAAGCTCGCTTTGACTTGAGTTAACATTTCGAAATTTCAAAACTGTCAGGACATTTGGGTGAATACCAATCTGTTCTTCAGCGTCTTAGTCTTGCAAGCAAAATTATGCAAGGAGTCGCCCACTTTGAAGCGGAATCATGAAATGCCGGAACCCAGAAACTTATCGCAAAATTTAAAGCGTTTTACAAAATTACAGACCGAAATAGTCGAAGTTCATGTTTCTACGAATATATACGTAGACGAAGTTACAATAATGGTATCGCTGGAAAATTTCCTGGACTTCTGTGGCTGTATAAATGACCAACGCGAAATCGACATGCATGACTGATAATTGAAGAGTTGACGAGCTGCAATTTTTACCCCTAAAATCTGGGCATATTTGGAAGTATTTTTAAAGATTAAAGAGTAGCCTTTAGGGCTTATTTACTTGGCTTATTTTAAGCATTACTCGGCGCAACGTATAGAACTTCTAACAAACTGTAACGTGGCGTAGTTTTAATTAAAAATCTTGTATAAACATACAAATTATTAACGAGCTGTCCTAGCGCGTACGGCATGTTTTATAAACGAAGTATTTAACATTTATTACTTACCACAAATACGAAATTGAAGGCGAACAATAATGCCTGTGCAACTTTAACGCCAATACCCATGATTTTAGATAGACTTCCTCGTTTACTTCTCTTGAAATATTACTTCTGCAAACTCTGCACACTGAAGCGTTAATACAACTTCTTAAAGTGATTATTGTGCCGTGTCATGTGCCGAATTATGCGGTCATATGACCCGATGTTGCTTATTAATACATACAATGACATCATTTTTCTATTGCGCAAATATTACACGACGCGCATGCACTTAACCACGCTACGGTTTATATTTTTGAAATCGATGAATTTTTATTTTAAACAAATTTCAAGCGGCCATAAACCTGCATTCTTATTAAAAAAACCCAGCAAAACATGATCTGTTTGTTTTAAGTGGTACGCGATCATTCATAATCAGTGTCACATACAGTATTCCGCATATCCGAGCTATGACGTTTCCTGCCGTCTTGTGATTTTCAAATGATTGAAAATTTTCGCTGAGTCACATTTCATTTTCTTTTGGATAATATATAATAAATAACAACCGATAACTGCCGGCAAGCTTACACCGCGGCGATAGACAGGTTTTTGCAAAACAGATTTTGTGCGAGGCAGATTCGTCTGTCTTGACTTTAATGTTGCCAAGTCCTGAAATACCGCTCTGCACGTCCGGTAAGTTGTAAGTACTTAATAAGTCAGTTAAGGAGCCATTCACGAAATACGTGACGCTGCATGTTTTTGCCAATTTTTCTTTGGTATCCTCCCCTAAACGTCAAACGCAGGTAGCATTTGCAGTCGTGAAAATGTTGAAATACAGCCACGGTCATTTGCCTTTGGCCCTTACGAGTTATGATGGAAAACTCCATTGCAAAATATTTTGACTCGAACATTTTGACTCGAGTAAAATAATTTATACCCACACTCCACAGTGACTTAAAATATTCACATAAAAATTACTCAATTTATGAGTAAATTCACTCATTTTTTGAGTAAAGAATGTTTAGTCAAAACATTGAGTACATGCATATAGGAGTTAGGTTTCAAGTGGGACAAAAGTCCTGTTCCTCTTTCCTGTCACATATAACTTGTTTGTCATGTGTCTGTATGCGTCTTCTTCGTCATTGTAACTTTTGTATTGTGACAAATTCAATAAATAAAAATAAACTAAATAAATTTGCTTACAAATTTTAGTAATTTTACCGTAAACTTTAGACATTGGTAAAAAAAAAAATTGAACACAAATTCGCTCATACATTTGAGTCATTTTACCGCTCAAAATTTTGAGTCCGAGTGGGTTTTCGAGTCAAAATATTCAGGGATTTTTGCAGTGTCATAATAACAGAAATGTTCGGGTTGGAAGCTTGGATAACAGCGTCAGTCAATTATATTGCACGTATAGTCCAGGGCGCGAAATAACGGACGGTCAACGGATAATGTCCGGCCAGAATGAGAAGTTGTCCGCGGGTCAACTTCTTACCTTGTCGGTCATTTTTGACCGGTCACTTTCGATAAAACAACAAACTAATCTTCACTTGAATTAATAATCAAAATAAAGTTGTCAAGTATTATAATTAAGAACCATAACATGTTGTCGAGTGTTTTGTGGGAAAAGAACATCAATGTTAACATGAGCTCCACCTTTGAATTTACTATACGAGTAAACTCTTAAACACGTCCGAATTTATCATTATGATAAATACGCGGCACATTTTGAATTTTCAATAGAGTTAATCATAAGAGATTTTCAAGATTTTCAATAAAAAAGTTTAAAAAAGTTTTAGAAGGAAAAAAAAGTTTAAAAAGGGTTAGGGTTGAGGTTGGGGTTAATGTTGGGGGTTAGATGCCGCGAATTTATCATGATGATAAATCCAAAATGTGCCGCGAATTTATCATAATGATAAATTCGGACGTGTTTAAGAATTTACTCATATAGTAAATTCAAAGGTGGAGCTCATGCTGTTCAATGTACGCCAGCTTTCCCACGCAGTACGTCACAAAGCCCATGCATGGCCATGTTTTTGGCTTAATAAGAGTTAAGGCCATGCTTTTTCGCTTAGCGCAATGCAAGCGGTTTTATATGAAGGAGTTTTTAATTACTGATTTCAGTAAGGCTTTTCGTCACATTTTTAGGGGTATACTTTACTAGGTTTTGCTTTAAGTGAATAATTTGACCGGCCAGAAATTCGGTATGTCCGAGCTAAAATTGAGTTGGCCAGTCACCTTGACCGGCGACCCTCCACTCCAGCCGTTATTTTGCGCCCTGTATATAGTGCATTCAACGTCAATCAACTATATTGTATATACATAAAAAACATATAATAAAACGCAATCTCAATTTATTGGTATAGCTGCTCATAACGATTTGAATATACTTATATGTTCATCGCGAGATTCATTGTTCAACGGTGTGGATTTCAGGGTTCGATTTTTGATTGAGTAACTTGCTGATACAGCTTCTGTAAAAAAGGAAAAGAACGATGAATTTTGTGGTTTTTGCTTTGGGGCATCCAAGGAAACGGCACATACGTGACTGGGATAAAAACTCGTATTAGAGAGGTTAAGATACCCCGGTTTCGGTGTACGGGTACGAGTAGTGTCATCTTGTTTTACTGATGTCTGTAATTCCATCATACTTTTTCTGTTTTCTTGCAATAGACAATGATATAATGCGAAAAATGTGCACCTTAATTACGAGTAAAGGTACAGACATCGACGAAAATATTGCTAACCAAAATCATGTTACCCGTACACATACACCGAAACCGGGGTATCTTAACCTCTCTATTAACCCATTGTCGCAAAATGTTATGTATTCTGTGTGTAATATCTATTTGACAATTTGTCCTGTGATAAAAATATTATGTACTATTTAAAACACGAGCAAGAGTGCTTTATCAGATATAAAACACGAGAGCGCAGCCGTCTGATAAAACCGGCACAACAACGATTGTTTTGAACAGCTTAAAAATACGACTACAAAAGGATGAACTGTTATATAATCATACTAATTATATAGGATAAACAATTATATAAAGAATACTAATGAAGATGAGTTTTATCAGATATACCACAAGGTTTATGAATTATTAATTAGTACTATTTAAATAGTACATATATTGTATATATATAGAAAACATTACCCTGTAATTGTATCGTTAAACGTGATCCTAATCCCACATTAGAACGTCACGGACGTGACTAAACGTGTTCCATTTGCGCAAGGGAAATTTGTGGT